CAAATTAATAAATAAAAAAAAAGAAAAGAAAAAATAGACACAAAGTCCTCCAGCTGAGCCTAAACTAATTTTGAGATAAATCTCTTTTTCTCTTATAGTCATATACTTTAATTTACTGGCTGACTTCCCGGTTTTTGAAGTGGTCCCATACAATTTTGAAAGGCATTTTAACTTTATAAGGCAATATATCATAAATTAATTTTCAGAAACTTCTTGAGCCAACTTGAAATCAAAACAAACCATTTTCTCAGGCTGTATACTCTAATTATAGTCTAATTTTTAAAAACTGGACATTTAAATTTAGGATATCATATTAAATAATATACTCAGGAAGAGTGATTCTTTTCTTTGAGTTTGCAGAGACCAGAAGGACTTCAAAAGTGTCCTTTTTAGCAATTTCAGCCTCTGGAGAGTTGGATCTATATTATTTCATAGGTAATGTGATGCCGATAAACATTAAACAACTGGTTTTCAAGGGGAAGAAATGTTCTAATTTATAGTGTTTGTCAATTCCTGGGTGTAAATACTCCCACCTGAAGCTACCAAAGAGGTGTCAACCAGTTCCCAAAATTCCTGAAAATTTAACAATTGGTTCTTATGAGCTTTTAAGAGGCAGCTCTGCAACAACGCTGTGACTCAGCCAAACAGTGCTTGACATGCAGGCTTGGGAACATGGGTGTGTTGGCTCTGTGATACTCTGGGATTTATCTTCAAGGTGACTAGGCATCATGTAGCAAATCCTGGCAAAGGCACTTTCAGATCCAATATGTGTAGTACCCAAAAACTCAGGTTACCTTAAAAAAGTAATGTACCCTGGGAGAATGTGGTCCAAAATATTCTGTTTAATTGATCCTTGCAGATACTAAGTCATACAATTAGGGTCATCAAGGACAGTCCAAAGGCATTTTAGGGATGGGCCACTCACAGCTCTGCCACTTGAGTTTAAACTGCTAGGTTTAGCAAAGGCTGGTCACAGAACAAAATACACAGCCAGAATCAAACTTGGGTGCCACCCTTTGCAATGGAATTTATTTTAGGTTTACCTCTGAAAAGCCATAGCCTTTGAGGATGCCTGGGAAGTGTCTTCATTATCATTTGGGGACATTTCTTCATTTTTTCATCTTCTGAAAATAAAAAGCTCTTTGCCAAGGAACTAGTTTTTCCTTTTAGTGTGTCCTGTAAATATAGTCTTTCTGCTGACTGGTGAATTGTTTTCTTTCTAAATGAATATATTTTCTATCTCTATATATTTCCTCTAATGATGAAAGACGACATAAACCTAGTCATCACAACAGAGAGCAAAGTAAATTTCAATTTTGGGCTGCTACTAAATTTATACATGCTCTTTGAAACAGCTCAGTCAGCAAATGTGGGGTTGAGGGCCAGACCTTCAGTACAGCTATTGATAAGAGTTTCATTGTTCATCTTTGGCCAAGTAATACCCAGCTTCCCTATTTAAAAGTTTGAAGGTGAGCCACCCAACAATAAAAAACTATCCTTCATTTCAAATTTCTATCTAGGATCTATTCTTTAGTTCACTTTATTGGGCACTACTTTGTGTCTAAAGCTTTACTAGTTGATAAATGAGATTGTATCCGTCAGGGTTCTTCTATGTCCAGCAGGAAATAAATGGCATAAACAAAGGGTTTAACTGAGAAGAATTGAATGAAGGGACAATATCTAGAATAGTGAGCAGTGGCGAGGAAATCAACAAATCATGGTGAAGCTCCAGGAACTAGTAATAGCAGGAAGCTGTTACTACCCCTCTGCTGAAAGGAGCAATGGAGCCATGGAGTCGTGATTATGCCTCAAGGGAGAGGGACACACAAAGGCGGCTCTCCTGCGAGTGACTCCCATTTGCCAAACCCCAGGAAGCCAGGAGGGCAGGTACGCATTCTGAGAGGGCCAGCCATTTAGGGTTCAGGCAGCATAAGGAAGGATGGAAGATGGTTCTCTTGGGTGATCCTCTGGTAGTGAATGGCTGTAGGGGAATGAACAGCATTGATTTCAACCCTGCCCTTAAAACTCTGCATTCTAGTCAGAATAACCATATGGGCAGGTCTGCTAGGATAACAGAGAGGTAGAACCTTAGCCTAAAGGGTATTTTAGCTAAGCCAATGAGCTTGGGTGTGAAGAACTGAAGACCTCTATAAACATTCATGTTCATACATTAATATGTATGACCAGTTGAATGAAAAATGCAAAGGAGTAAAGGAGATACTGGTATCCAAACTAAAGGACACAGGCAAGTGAAGAAAAGGATGGTGTCTGCGGGGTGAGAGGAAAATCCAGATGACAAAATTTTTAAATAAGTGAAGGAATGGGAGTCAGTAGACCTCAACCATAAGCTGGAGGTAGTCAGTGGAAAAGTGGAATAATAGTATTCATATAACTTATACTCCTTTTCCAAATAATAACAAGTGAGATGGTTGGAGTAGGTAATTCTTCAAATTTGGAGCAGACCACTGTGCATTTCAACCAATGGTAATCTGCAAACCAGCTCTTATTAGAAATGTCTTTTTTTGTTTTTTATCTTTATTGTTGAGAGTATTACAATGTTTTCCTTGTTTTCCCCAATTGACCCCCTCTTCCTCACTCCCACCTCCTTCCTGCCTTCCCCACATTATTGTCTGTGTCCATTGGTTGTGCATATATGTATATACGTTCTTTGGTTTATGCCCCCTCTGCTCTATCTCCCTTCTCTCTGAAATTTGTCAGTCTGTTCCCTACTTGCGTGTCTCTGGATCTGTTTTGATTGTCAGCTTATTCTGTTCATATGTTCCATAAATAATTGAGATTATGTGGTACTTGTCTTTCTCTAACTGGCTTATTTTGCTCAGCATAATTCTCTCCTGGTCCCTCCATGTCGTCTCAAGGGGTAAGAGATCTTTCTTTCTTACAGCTACATCGTATTCCATTCTGTAAATGTACCACAGCTTTTTTATCCACTCATCTACTGATGGTCACTTGCGCTGTTTTCAGATCTTAGCTATTGTAAATAGCGCTGCTATGAACATAGGGGTGCATATATTCTATGAAATTATTTATATATGTGTATATTGATATACATGCATATATATTATTTATTTTCTGAACTATGGAGAATAAGCTGAAAATTTGCCTCATTATTTTTTAAACTAGTGTATTTCCTAAAAACAAGTCATTTTCTTACATGACATAGTACAATTATCAAAATCAGGAGTTTTAACACAATGTGGTTATCTAATCCATGTTCCATATTTAAATTTCATCACAATAATGTTCTTTTATAGTTTTTTTTTTTTTTCCTGCTCTAAAATCTTACCCAGGATCATGTATTGCCTGTAGTTGCATGCCTTTTGTTGGACCCATCAATCAAAGACTATCAGGAGCACATCTGTCTTCAGACAAATTGGGCTAGTTGATACTTAACTTCAGTTACTGTATTTGACCCTGAGAAAAGCAGGTTGGATACTTACTGTCCTCCTGCCTTTGATGGCATCTAAATCTATGGACTTCACTTTCCAGAAAATGTATAGAGGATGTCTATAGATTCTATTACATTTAGAAATTGAAATGTATTTTAATAAACACTGGCTTTATAATTACACTGTTTTGTGTGTATACATTTTTTGAGGGTGGGTACCCTATATGTGTGTGTGAGAGAGCCTTACTTCTGAGTGTTTCTCATTCTACTGCCATGCTTCTTCTTGTTGACTCATTGCTTGGAGGTCAGCTGACCGTGCTTTACAACATATCTTTAGAGCCAGGGGGGGCAGAGGCCAGTTTAAAGGAGCAGGAATCAGGAGACTAGTGTCTGACTTTTGACTTTGGAGTTCCTGGCCACCTTACTTGAAATGAGCCTTTCCAGGCTGACTTGCATTTTGAGTTGTCCCAGTTTGGTGGAAAGACTTCAAGCTGTGCATCTGGGCATCTATCTGCCCCCTCTGCTACCTGCAATCACTCTTGGGGGTCAGGAGCTAGGGTGTTCACTCTTAGGGCAGCGTGGCCCCCTTGTGGCAGATATTTATTTGTGTGTCCTGGGAAAAGAATGGACTGTAAAAGATCATGCAGAATTAGAATGTTGAAGCAGTGTATTAATTTGCTGGGGTTGCCATAGAAAAATTTCACAGATTGGGTGGCTTAAACAACAGATTTATTTTCTTACTGTTCTGGAAGGTAAAAGTCTAAGATCATTGTAAGGATAGAAGATAGGACTTCTCTTTTTTTATGATTTTCCCCCCACAATTTATGAGAAGCATCCGGTAAGTAAACACGGAGGTTGCAGGTGTCTGCAACTTCAAACCACCTTTCTACCCAACTGAAAGGGTCAGGAAAGAATATTAGAATTAATAGAAAATATTAGAAGAGTAAAAAAACCAATCATAGTGGGGCACTAGCCATAGTTAGAAAAATGTTAACCATTTTTTACAATGTTGGTCAGGATTGCTTTGTTCTGATTGAGGAAAAGCCCACTCTGACCTGGCCGGGAGTTTACCTCGGGAATGCCATCCATTTTATTAATCAGAGGACAAGGGGGACTATCTGACATCATGGAAAGATTAACAACCTGATTATTGGAGCACAGGACCCATGACTGCAACTCACTGGCAACCAGCCCCTGCTGCACCCCATCCACATTCCTCTCCCCTTGCCTGTAACCATATTACCCATTTTTTTTCCTTTTTGCCTAACTGCCTTTTCTCAAGTAGTGATTGTTTCTCTACCCTTTAAAAGCAGCTGGCAAGTGGTGGTGGTGGGGAGATTTTTACAGGATGACCCACTGCTCTCCCATACTGCTGGCAATATTGGAATAAATGCTTACATATGATTCAACCTTATCTCTGCTTAATTGGCTCAAGTAGTGACAGGCGGCCCAGACCCATTCATTGTGTGGTTTCACAACAAGTAAAAAAGACAAGGGCTGGGCCCTTTTCCAGCCATTTTTAGCCTCTTTCTAATTCTTTGCAACTCCTTTAGGTGAAATTCTTTTTCTCTTTACTTCCAAATATGTTTTACAGGCCATCGAAGAGATGATAAGAAACCCCTCGGCACTTCAGCCAAACTGTCTCTCAAAGAACCAACAAACAGAAACTCCTCAAGACAACCAACCCCTGGCATCTATGTGACTTAAAATATGACCCCTCCCAATAAAAGGCAACTCTCCTACCTTTTGTTGCTCAGTGCCACCTGGTATTTGGCCCTTCCCTGTCTATGGGGAAAGACAAAATAAAGTTCCTTCCTTTTCTCTCTTCTCTCAGTTGTGAATTCTTTCACAAGCCCGCACCACTGGCCTAAACAAAACCCTAACAATCATGGTGTCAGTTGACTTTTTCTATCACCTCTCTCCCTGGAGTGTAGGTGGCTGCATTCTCCCTGTGTTTTTACATGGTCTTCCCTCTGTACCTGCCTGTGTCATAATCTCTTCTTATAAGGACACCAGTTATATTACATTGGGACCCATCCATTTGACCTCATTATGCCTGCATCACCTCTTTAAAGGCTCTGTTCCAAGTACAGTCACATTCTGAGGTACTGGGGGTTAGGGCTTCAACATACGAATTTTGAAGGACACTATTCAACCTGTAATAAGCAAGAAGGAGATCTTAGAGATTCTTTAGCTCAAATCCGCCATAGAAAACAGATTAGCCAAATTGTTTGAGGCCACACAACTACAGTCGGCCCTTGCCACTTTGCGCTTCGACTTTTCGTGGCTTCACTCTATCGCGGTTTTTTCAAATATATTCATTAAAAAGTTGATCGAGACAGTGAAAATGATACAGCACGTGCTCAGTTGTCTGAGTCAATTATACACCCCTGTATTACAATTAAAATGAAAATTACTGTACATATGGACTGTGGGTCTATGTATTTGAGCACCCCAGGAATCCTTCAATGCCAGGTGCAACCGCTAGAGTCTGGAACGTATTAACTGCGATAAATGAAGGTCAACTGTAGTAGACAGCAGAGACCCAACTTCCCTAATTTGGTGAAGGAAGAAGGCATTCAGTTCAAGGAGCACAGAGAGCACCAAGAAAAACCCAAACAGGCCCACACCAAGACACATAGTAATTAAAATGCCACAAATTAAAGACAGAGAGAATCTTAAAGGCAGCAAGAGACAAGCAACAGGTTACCTACAAAGGAAACCCCATAAGGCTCTCAGCTGACTTCTCAACAGAAACACTACAGGCCAGAAGGGAATGGCATGAAGTAATCAAGCTCATGAAAAACAAGGATCTGAATCCAAGACTACTCTACCCAGCAAGGCTATCATTCAAAATAGAAGGTCAAATAAAGAGCTTCCCAGACAAAAAAAAAAAAAGGCTAAGGGAATATATTAGCACCAAACCAGCACTGCAAGAAATATTAAAAGGACTGCTGTAATTAGAAGAAATAGGAAGAAAAATAGAACCAAATTAAACAAAAACGGCAATAAATAAGTACACAGCAATAATCACCTTAAATATAAATGGATTGAATGCTCCCATAAAAAGACACAGAGTAGCTGATTGGATAAGAAAGCATGATGTTGTTTACAAGAGACCCACCTCACAACAAAAGACTCACATAGGTTGAAATTGAAGGGATGGAAAAAAATCGTCCAAGCAAATGGAAAAAAAAAAAAGCTGGGGTAGCATTACTCATATCTGATAAAATAGATTTCAAAATGAAGGGAGACAAAGATTGCCACTACATAATATTGAAAGGATCTATCCAACAGGAAGACATAACCTTAGTAAACATATATGCACCCAATATAGAAGCACCAAAATATATTTAAAATCTTCTGGAGGACTTCAAAGGAGAAATTGACAGCAATGTAATGATAGCAGGGAACTTCAACACCTCACTGACATCACTGGATACATCCTCTAGAGTCTAGACAAAACATTAACAAGGAAACAGAGACTCTGAATGAAGCACTAGATCAATGGATTTAATAGATATCTACAGAGAATTACTCCCCAAAACTAGAATTCACATTCTTCTCAAGTGCACATGGGACATTCTCAAAGATAGATTGCATGTTAGGACACAAACTAAGTTTCCACAAGTTAAAGGAGATTGAAATCATATCAAACATTGATCAGGGCCCTGAGGCTAAGGTGACTAGATTCCATTCTATCGAGGTCCCTGGCGACTAGGCAATTCCATCCTTATCTAGGCCCCTCAGCTAAAAATGACTCCATTTTTATTGGCAGTGGACTTTTCTCAGTATTTTTTCAATAACAGATTGATTACCCCTAGAAGTAAAGGAACTTTGCCTAAGGTTATAGTTGACCTACGTGTTGGGATGTATCTTGCAGTTTCTGAGTGCTGGGGACTGAAAATCATGAGCCCAGTGACTAAAGCTTATTTTGACTTCTGTAATCACTGTCACACCTACTATTGTACTGGTCCCTTGAGGGGGAGTCAAAAGGGAATGTGGCTTCTGTCTTTAAAAGCAGACCAGCAAAAGACTTCTGGTCAAGATGGCGGCATGGTAAACATGGTATTGCGTCCTCCCACAACCACATCAAAGTTACAACTAAACTACAGAACAACCATTATTAAAAACCACCTGAAATCAAGCTGAATGGAAGTCCTACAACTATAAAATTAAAGAAGAAGCCACATTGAGACTGGTAGCAGGGGCTTACCAGTCCCACACCCACATGTGGCAGATAAAAATTAGGAGGATACCTTGGTTAGAAAGGTCCTCCCAGAGGACTAAGGGGTCCCCGTCCCACACCAGGCACCCAGCTGAATGTTACAGTGCCAGGAAGAGAAGTCGCCATAACTTCTGGCTGGAAAAACCAGAGGGAACTGAGGGTGAGGGAGGCTCATCTTAAAGGGCTCATGCATGGACTTGCTTAGACTTGCACTCTCCAGGCTCCATCATGGGGAAGGCAGCTTGAAAGGCACCAGAGTTATATGGGGAAGAACTGAGTTGTTTGGCATTTGAGTGAAGGCTGGAGAGGCAGCTTTCTCCTGGACAGACATGCTGTCAGAGGCCTTTGTTCCTTTGGTGAGCCCTTCCCTGGGGTGGCAGACAGCTGCCATGTCTGGGACTCCAGCAACCTGGCTCACATTGTTTGCCTCACCTTGCTGATTCCCTGAGGCCCTGCCTGATTCAACTTTCAGGCCCACCCAAGCTGTTGCTAGTTGCTTTACCATAAGATTGGCCTGTCTTGGATCCTGCTTCAGGTTTTCCTAAATTCTTTCAAACAGGCAGCATCTGGTCTCAGCTAGCCCCATACCTCTCACTAAGTAATACATAGAAAGAAACACAAGTAGATAGCCAAAATGAGGAGACAAAGAAACAGGTCCCAAATGAAAGAACACAACAAAACTCCAGGAAAAGAACTAAACGAAATGGATATAAGCAACCTAACAAATGCTGAGTTCAAAATACTGCTTATAAGGATGCTCAATAAACTTAGTGAGAACCTCAGTGAACTTAGTGAGGGCCTCAAGAGCATAAAAAAGGACCAGTCAGAAATGAAGGAGGCACTAACTGAAATAAAGAATAATTTACACAGATTCAATAGTAGAGTAGGTAAAGCCAAGAAGCAAACCATTGATTTGGAATATAAGAAAGCAAAAACAACCAATCAGAACAGCAAAAAGAAAAAATAATCCAAAACAATGAGGATAGTGTAAGGAGCCTCTAAGACAACTTCAAGCGAACCAACATTCGCATCTTGGGGGTGCCAGAAGGAGAAGAGAGAGAACAAGAAATTGAAAACCTGTTTGAAACAATAATGGCAGAAAACTTCCCTAACTTGGTGAAGGAAACAGATATACAAGTCCAGGAAGCACAGAGAGTCCCAAACAAGATGAACCCCAAGAGGCCCACGCCAAGACACATCATCATCAAAATGCAAAAGTTTCAAGACAGAATTTTAAAAGCAGCAAGAGATAAGCAGTTAGAAGTCAGGGATGTCCACTTTCGCCACTCTTATTTAGCATTGTACTGGAAGTCTTAGCAAGAGCAATCAGACATGAAGAAAATATAAAAGGGATCCAAATTGGAAAGGAGGAAGTGAAACTGTCATTATTTGCAGATGACATGATATTATACATAGAAAACCCTAAAGACTCCATCAAAAATCTACTAGACTTAATAAATGTATTTGGCAAAGTAGCAGGATACAAAATTAACGTCAAGAAATCGATGGCATTCTTGTACACCAATGATGAACTCACAGAAAGAGAAACTGAAAAAACAATCCCACTTACCATCGCGCCAAAAAAATTAAGATACCTAGGAATAAACTTAACCAAAGAAGTAAAGGACCTATTTGCAGAAAACTACAGGTCATTGAAAAAAGAAATAGAGGAAGATATAAAAAAGTGGAAGCACATACCCTGTTCATGGATTGGAAGAATTAACATCATTAAAATGTCCATACTAGCCAAAGCAATCTATAGATTCAATGCAATCCCCATCAAAATACCAACGACATATTTCATAGAACTAGAACAAATACTTCAAAAGTTCATATGGAACCAAAAAAGACCCCGAATAGCCACAGCAATCTTGAAAAAGAAGAACAAAGTAGGTGGGATCACAATACCAGATATCAGGTTATACTACAAAGCGACTGTAACCAAAACAGCCTGGTACTGGCACAAGAACAGGCATATAGACCAGTGGAACAGAACTGAAAACCCAGAAATGGACCCAAAGCAATACGCTCAATAATATTTGACAAAGGTGGCAAGAGCATACAATGGAGTAAAGACAGCCTCTTTAATAAATGGTGTTGGGAAAATTGGACAGCTACATGCAAAAAAATGAAACTAGACCATCAACTTACACCCTACACCGAAATAAACTCAAAATGGATAAAAGACTTAAATGTGACCTATGAATCCATAAAAATTCTAGAAGAAAATGTAGGCAACAAAATTTCGGACATCATACAGAGCAGAATTTTCACTGATACATCACATAATGCAACAGAAACAAAGGAAAAAATGAAAACATGGGACTACATCAAACTCAAAAGCTTCTGCACAGAAAAAGAAACAATCATCAAAATGGAAAGGCAACCCACTGTATGGGAGAACATCATTGCCAATGATACATCAGATAAGGGGTTAATTTCCAATATATAGAGAGTGCTCATACAACTCCACAAAAGGAAGACAACCCAATTAAAAAATGGGCAGAGGAATTAAATAGACACCTCTCCAAACAGGACATACAAATGGCCAAGAGACATAGGAAGAAATGCTCAACATCACTAATCATCAGAG